GAGAGGCTGCCACAAAGAGGAGGAGGTCAATTTATTTTCCAGAGTATCAGAGTGCAAGATGAGGAACAATGGATAGAAATTAATTAAGGAGAGAAACAACCTGGAATAAAGGAGAAACTTCTTAGCAGTGAGGATAATTAACTAGTGGAACAACTTGCCTTCAAAAGTTGTGGGTGCTTCATCACTGGGTTTTTTTAAAGAAGAGACTGGAGAGCCATTTGTCTGAAATGGTATAGGGTCTCTTGCTTGAGCAGGGGGCTGGACTAGGTGACCTCCAAGGTCCCTTCCAATTTATTCTGATTGATTGAAATTCCCCCCCCCCCCAGCCCATCAGTTTCCAAGAGACCGCAGCATTGCAAACTAAACTGTTTGAAACTGATTTTCTTAATAACAGTATTTAAATTGTGATTGAGATCTTCCTCCTGCTTGAGAATGGACAGAAAAGGCCTTTGCTGATATGACATATAAGACATGTGATCCCACAGATACAAACAGTGTTTTTTTTTTCTGTTAGGGATTTCCCATCCTGAACCCTACCATTGTTCACAATCTTGTACGTTCTATTTATTTTGCTCCCATTTCAACCTTACCCTAACAGCACTTAGGACAGCTACCAACAATAACATTGCAGTTCAGTTGATTATGTGTCATCAAGTCCTTTTTGACTCCTAGCAACCACACAGATAGAGTTTCTCCATGGCGATCTATCCTTCACCTGGACTTTTGGCTCTTCCAACTGTGCACTTAGTGTCACCGTAACGGAGGCCATCCACTTTGTTGGCTGGGGATTTCTGGGAGTTGAACTCCAAGCATTTTAAAAGTTGGTAAGGTTGAGAAGATCCATGCTATACTAACAGTGCTGCCCCCTTAAAATGCTTTCCTGATCTGCAAGTCGTCTTGTCTGATGCTTTCCTAATCCAAGCCTAACAGATTTCCTTTCTCTTTTGCTTCCCTTTATGGAAGATATCTCAACTTTCTATCCCATACTGCTGTGTATATTCAGCTTTAAACTCCAGCTGTCAGAATCTATACAGAGGGAATACCAGTTGACGCAGGCGGACCTGAGCTTTCTGGCTCTGTGTGAGTGAGGTAGATATTTCCCCTGTTGAAAGTTTTGATTCCTTCTAACCTCCGCTGGTTTTTTGCCAACACGAGAAAATTAAAATTTCAATAGAAATGAGAAACTGTTTGTTTCTCCTTTGCACAAACCAGGCCTCTTCAGTGAGATTGAAGCTTGCCTGTCCTAACACTTGGGGGCACACCTATCTCACACCTATCCCAACATTACTTTTCCAAAAGGCAACTGGACTTTCTTGGTTTTTTTTTTTTCTTGAAAACATTTTGCTTCTCACCCAAGAAGCTTCTTTGGTTCTAACTGAATGTGGAAAACGGAAGGATTTATCTTCTTTGCAGTCATTTAGTCATTAGCATTCTGTGGATTGGTCATTAGTGCTCTGCTTTCAATACAGTCCAGCTGCCTTTTGGAAAAGCACTGTTGGGGCAACCATGATTTGAATGAATCTCCATAGGCTCCTCACGTCTATGTGACTAGAGAGGATGGGAGTTTATTTCAATGCATATGAAAAGTAGAGACTAGGCAAAGGATCTAGTTCTCTGCTTGCCTACAAGGATCCTTGCTGAGTAATTACACTTAGAGGAAGGGTATCAAACTTAAGGGCCGGAGGCCAGATCCGGGATGCTAAGTCGGATGCTCAGATCTGCCCCGCAGGGCTACCCTGGAAACAGCAAAGGACTCTGCCAGTGAAACGGAGCTCAGGAGGGCTACGCACAGCCCTCTCAGGCTCTTTTCAGCCATGATGCCCTCCTGCAGCTCTCTGCTAGTGAAAATTGAGCTCCGTTTTCATGGCAGAGGACTGCAGGAGGCTGTTGTAGCCAAAAATGGGCTGGCGGGGGGCGGGGGACACTTGTAGCCCATTCAAGCTCTGTTTTCACTGGCAGAGGGCTGCAGGAGGGCATCACGGCTGAAAAAGGAGCTCGGGAGCCCGTTTTCACTGGCAAAGCGTTTGGGCCAACTCAGGAGCCACCGATATGAGTGACGTCAAGCTGGCCACACCCACCCCAGCCCCTGAGGTCAAACACAACTCTGATGCGGCCTTCATTAAAATTGAGTTTGACAGCCCTGACTTAGAGCTACAGAGTTAGTATCTGCCAAGTGTCCCATGGGTTATCAGCCTTGGTGCTCTCACTTCCACTGCAGAAAATCAAATTGCTCCCTAACCGCAGTGAAATGCTTTATTCTGTAGTTTCTCTGCAGTTGTGAGTCACTTGGGGGCCTGTTATGAATAGTGAATTCATTTACTGAATGTTAATCAAAATGTGTGTGTGTTGGGTGGGTGGGTTGTCCACGTGTATGTGAATGTTTTAAAAGTGCAAATGAGCAGCTTTGTGGAACTCAGAGTTTTTAATTCCTCCCCTCCTGTTGAATTACATTTTTCCAACGCTCTGCATGAAATATTTACTGTCACTTAAGAGTAACATGAGAGTGGGTGAATCTGATGAGTATCATCCCATAATGCTTTTGAGCATTCTTATCTCTTCTGTTGTGTTTCTGTAGCAATCTAAAGGTTTTCTTGAAAAAAGCTCAAAACACTGTATTTAAAATGTCAGTTCCTCTCTCCCCTCCCCCCAAAATGTCATATTTAAGAGTTTTATCTCAAATCAAACTCATGCATAATTATGATGCATTTAAATCACTAAGACTTGTGTTGTTGGCATGGTTTTGTAGTTAACAGTGGGAAACTAGGACAGAGAAGAGGGTTCTAGGTTCAAATTGTACCTCAGCCATCAAGCTCACTGGCTAAATTTAGATGTGTGTGGATTCATCCATTGTGCTAAGATGTGATATGGTATGTTTAATTTTAGCTTAGTATGATGTTACAGCATGTAACCTATGGAGTGTATATATGCTTACTTCTCTTCTGTCACATTCTCATCATACGCTAAATAATAATAATAAATCCAATATATATGCTTAGAGTTCTATGGAACGCCCAAGCTTATGACTTAACAAATAATACTTTAAAAAAACAACTAAGATTACTAATTCATAAGGCTACTAGGAGGATTAAAAATGGGGGAAGAAATATTTTGAAGGTTATTGTTGTTCTGTTCATTCATTCATTCATTTGTTCATTCATTTGTTTGTTCATCTATTCGTTCATTCAATTTCTATAACCATCCAACTCAATCAATGATTCTGGGCAGCTTACAATACCGAAACAATAAAAACAATAAAAAGCATTTAAAAGCAATAGCAAAGGACTGACTCTTACAAAAAGCCAGCTTGGTTGGGGTGAGTAGATCCCTGAAGTTTAACATTCACCCTTACATGTCCAAAATGATATGGAAAATTCCTACAACAAGGGTAGAAGGACGTCGAAATTTGAAATAAGTAAATGCAAAGCTTTCAAAACAATCCTATTATATTACAAGTCAGCCAGATATAATCTTTGCTTTTGCCAATAAACACAAAACTATAGAACAAAGGCTCTTATTAGTTTATTATGAATTCTCTTATGGTTTTCAAGGAGGGGAAAATATGCTTGGGAAAATCCAGTTGAAAAGTTGTCCGTGTTATAATTATTTCAACTCTGGCTGCAGTTGTTGGATTAGATGGGTTAGATTGATAATCTTTTGTAACATTTTTAGTAGATGCCAAAAAGAAGATTATAGTAACAAGTCATGTGGGATGATTTCTTGATCCAAATCTGCGTGTATTCACTTGATGGGAAATAGAAAAGTTTTTTCTGACCTCCAACCAGCTTCCCACCATACATCCAGGGCTCTTGGACATCAAAGATGGCATTTGGTAAAGCCTGTGATCATGATGATTGTTATCCATTCACTCTTGGCAATTCTATGGGACAGGTCTCTCCACATCTTCTGATCTTGTGCTACTTCTTTGAGTTTTTCCATGCTATGCTGAAAAATTATGCCGAAAAGGTTACGTGGAGGCCAATTTCATGCTGTAATTTCTCTTTTATTCATGTGGCATGGGTTTATGGGCATTGGATGGCATATCATTACAGGTAGTCCTCGGCTTACAACAGTTTGTTTAGTGACCATTCAAAGTTGCAATGGCACTGAAAAATGTGACATAACTGTTTTTCAGAGTTATGATCTTTGCAGCAGCCCCTGATCATGCAATCAAAATTCAGATGCTTGGCAACTGGTTCATATTTATGACCGTTGCTGTGTGCCAAGGTCATGTGGCCACCTTTTGCAACCTTCTGACAAGCAAAGTCAATGGGGAAGCCAGATTCACTTAACAATCAGATAACAGACCATCAGAGTTGGGAGGCACCTTGTAGTTCATCTAATCCAACCCCCTACCCAAGCGGGAGACCCTACACCATTTCTGACAAATGGCAGTCCAATCTCTTCTTGAAAGTCTCAAGTGATGGCGCTCCCACAACTTCCGAGGGCAAGCTGTTCCATTGGTTGATTATTCACACCGTCAGAAAGTTTCTCCTTATTTCCAGGTTGAATCTCTCTCCTTGTTCAGTTTCCATCCATTATTCCTCAATCTCTAGTAATCAGATTACTAATCTATCAACTACAGTGATTCACTTAACAAGCGTGGCAAGGAAGGTCGTAAAATGGGGCAAAAATCACTTAACAAATGTCTCACTTAATGATAGAAATTTGGGGATGGTAAGTCAAGGACTACTGATTCACATTTTGAAATTGTCAGATCCATTTGCTAGTATCCAGTGACACTAAAGTGAGTTCGGTGAATTATTTATTAAATTTGTTTGCCGCTCATCTCACTGCAAGGCAACTCTGGGGGATGGCGGAAAAGTTGGATTGTTTTTTTCTCCATTTTAGCACTTGCAAAATCATTAATTATTTGGAGACTAAAACACGGAGCTTCTGAAAGTGGATAAAGTCAGTATCTCTGCAAATCAACATTATTTTATTCTTTTTCCTTCTTTCCCATTGGCTGCGCTTTGTGGATCCCCCCCAATGGAAACCTATAGAACTTCCAGCTGAAGAAGGTAAGCTTGATTCCTATTTGCAATCATTTGATTATCTCTTTATTTATTTAACTTCTATGTGTCCCCCATCTTACCTAGGCAACTCTAGGCAGTTTACAATTATATAATATTTTAATAAAGACGGGATGATTCATGGACTATGTGGGAGATGAAGAGAAAGTTGAGTTCAAATCAGAGGCCATTCATGAGCTTCTTTGGACTGACCTAGGGGTCACTGCTGCCTTTTAAATAATCTACAATGCCACTCATGGGATGAATAAAGTAATAATATTTAAGATACCCACCAGTGTGATCTGGATGGGAATGCTTCATGTAGTCAATCTGAGAGGATGATCATGTTTATCATGATATCACCAGTGTACTGATGATGACACCTAGTTTGGGTAATGAAATATCTGCAAGAAAACAACCAAGCTCAGAGAGCACCAACGACTCATCATTTCATCCCCAAGCTACAAATATTCTCCTTGATTGGTATTCTGTTTATCATGAATTATATCTTTATATGGTGGGCATGATTACCATAAAACGAGTGGTTCTTGCACTAATGTCCCAAGTTGTGACAAAAGGGCTTACTATACTTTGTATTCCTCCATTGGTGTTACTCCTCTGCATAAAAAAATGAAACAAGTATTAGTGATTACATTATAGTTTTCTCCCTGACCTTTACATTATAGTTTTCATTACATTACATTATAGTTTTCTTCCTGATTTTTGCTGTTCCAGGGTTTTTATTGGTGTTCATGTTGGTTTAAATATATTTAAAAATACCATCCAAGAACAATTCCTTGCTTTTGAAGATCAAACATAAGTCTCTTATTGTCAGAGGGAGTTAGAAGCATATCTAAGTTTGCATTTCCCCCACTTTTTGACAGAATTAGTTTCATCTATAGTTTTTTTTAATGCATCCTACTTTTTAAATAGATCTCTAAGGGGTATTTCTAGGATAGAAACATAAAAAAAGATGGCAGAATAAAATCTAATGTTCCATTGAGTCTGCCCTTTGTCTTTATAATGTCTTTTTGATTAAGTTTGTAATTGTTATTTTAAAATTTTATTAATCTTTGTTTTATTTTTTTTATTTTTGTCGGATGATGGATATGTGTTTATCCCAAGCATGTTCAGACAAAGTTACTGATAATTGAATCAGCAGCTGAAGTTGGTTCCAAGTTTTTGCCATTCTCTTTGTGAAGAAATACTTTCCAACAACACTTTTGAACTTCCCCTGTTTGAGGTTATGACCCCATGTTCTTGATTTTTACTCATTTTCTGCTGATTTTTTTTTATTATTCTAACAAGAGATTTAAATTAACTTTGTAGGAAAATCACTTCTGGAGCTAATACTGGAGCAGTTTGAAGATCTCCTAGTACGCATCCTTCTCTTGGCTGCTTTTGTTTCCTTTGTAAGTATGGTTACCTCAGCTGAGATTTGTTTTATTTATTTATCAAATTTCTAGATGGCCCATCTCACTTGGGTGTCTATGTGGTTAATAGATCAAACATTAAAATGATGTAATAGCTATAGTCAAAAGCAAAGTTTTAAAAACTAACAAATGAAGCTCTTCAAATGATTTCTTAGTAACTAAATGTTCAACTCACAGAACATGAGTACAAATACGGATGCTGACCTGGTGGACTCCTATCCAGGAGACAAATTGCTGATCTCACAGAAAAAGCTTGTTTTTTTCTAGTTGGCTTAGGAGTGAAATATCATAGCAGCACAGAAAATTGCCAGATATCAAGTCAGATTATAGTCCTCTAGCTCAGTCCCATTTGTACAGATTTCTATGGCTGGACTGAGTGGAAACTTTTATTTTATTTATTTGTATCCCGCCTTTATTATTTTTACAAATAATTCAAGGTGGCAAACATATCCAACATACATTCCTTTTTCTATTTTCCCCACAGCAACAGCCTTGTGAGAAAGGGTTGGGCTGAGAGAGAGTGACTGGCCTAAAGTAACCCAGCTGACTTTCATGCTTAAGGTGGGACTTGAACTCACAGTCTCCTACTTTCTATTCTGGTGCCTTAACTACTAGACCAAACTGGCTCTCAGCTCTATCCTTTTCAGAAGTTCTTAACATAGATATATTATGGGGAGAAGCGGGGGTGTCTTTGAACTTGGATTAAAACAAAATTAGTTTTCATTTGTAGCTGAAATTTAGCTTCTTGTTCAAAAATGTATATGGGCAACAATTTAATATATGGCTGCCAGACTTCAAAAATTTTCTGAAATCTCACATTATATTTTTAAAGGGTACTATCTTTTTATTGATTAATGAAAGATTAATAAAGAAGCACAATTAATAATGTATGTGTCATTTTTGAATAATGATAGTTGTATTTGAATATGATAACTTTCCTCTACTGATATAAAACAATCTATATTTATGTATTTTATTTTATGTGTTTAAATTTAAAAACATTTTTTTTAGAAGAGACTATAGGTTTCACCAAATTCTCAAATACATGATACAAAAAAATTGAGAATCTTGGTTTTAATTGGATTTGCTGAGCAACCTCACATGTAAATAACCAAAATCTTGTTTAGAGTAAGATAACCTTGTCATTTTTTTTACTCTGAGCACACTGGCCCATATTAAAAATGAAATTCTGTTGTCTGCTCTCAAAACAAAGTATATTCTATACATACATAACACATATGCTACATACACATGCAGGGGGGGAAGGAAGGAAGGATAAATAACCTATCCTGAAAATATACATAGGCTGCAAGTTATAGAAAGTACGTGCCTCCAGTTTTTTGTTCTAACATTTCATATACCTCATAATAGCAACGGGAAATTCTGTTAACCACACAAGTACATAAGTAGACCTTATAAGCAGTTCTCATTTAGTGACAAGCAGACAACGGAGGAAAAAGCAGAAATGGAGGCCAGGAAAAGAGGAAATTGCATGCACTGAATAATTTCAGTTATGTATTGTTGTGGGCAGAATGCCTGCTTAAATAAGAAATGAAAGTGTTTGGATAAAGTTGCATCAAAGTAGCTTTTGCTGGCACGTATAGCTGTAGGGTGTCCTTGCCAGAGGACTGGAGAAAAGCCCCCAAACCCTCAAAGTTTTCAGGTTAGGCACCCTGTTAAATGATGTAGAAGACTTAGAAATGTAATGTAAATTATAACATGATCTGATGCAAGATCTGAATACAACATGAGGTGACCTTACTGTGGGCTGATTCAGTGCCTCAGCATTCTGCTCTTCTCAAGATAGTCATCTGTTGGGGATGGAGTAATGAATCCTACAGTGTGCAGAGCATTGGAGATCTTGTGAGGTCCTAACAACTCTTTGATTCTAAAGAGCCTGCCCTTTGATCTGAACTACCACTTTCACATACATACATACATACATACATACATGGTATTCAGCTTTGTTCGGGTATTTTCCCACTTCATTATAGTTGTGCTTTTAAAGTTGTAGCAACGTTTTGGAAATGATCAAAGATCTACACGTGGAACAAGAAGATCTGCTTGTAAGTTTCGACGTGGTTTCACTATTCACTCAAGTCCCGATAAAAGAAACTCTTGAAATCATCAAAAATAAATACCAACCAGCTAAACACCTCATGGAACTAACAGAACACTGCTTAACCAACACATATTTCATATACAAAGGACAAAGATACAAGCAAATTGAAGGAGACCCTGTGGGATCACCACTGTCACCTGTCATTGCAAACCTGTGGAAGAATTCGAATCCAGAGCCCTGGCTAATGCCACCCACAAACCCAAACTATGGTTAAGATACATCGATGACACATTTGTGATTTGGCCCCATGGAAAAGAAAACCTAAACAATTTCCTAACACACCTAAACAGCACACACCCCCAAATCAAGTTCACCATGGAAACGGAAACAAACAAACAACTACCATTCCTAGATGTACTAATCTACAAAAAAAAACAGATGGCACACTAGGACACACCATATACCAGAAGAAAACACACACCAACCGCTACCTCAACGCACAATCCCACCACCACCCAGCACAGATAAACTCCGTGGCCAAAACACTAATTGCTAGACCCAAACGCCTGGCAGACAAGACACACATAAAGACTGAACTATGCACCCTGACTAAAGTACTGACAGCCAACGGCTTCCACAAAAGCAAAACCACTGGCTTGATCCACAAAAACACACTGAGACATAATGGAGACCTAAAAGATGAACAGACCTATGGAACAGCTGTCCTGCCCTACATAAGAGGTACTACAGACAAAATCAGTAAGATACTACACAGGCATCACATCAAGACTGCCTTCAAAACAGACAGAAAAATAGCTGCCATCCTTAGAAACCCCAAAGATAAAATTGACCTGGAAAACCAAGGCATATATGAAGTCCCCTGTGCATCATGCCCGGCCACATACATTGGACAGACCGATAGAAGAATAAGTACCCGCCTGGATGAACACAAAAATGCAGTAAAAAAGCTGGAACACACTTCCTCACTAGTCCAACACATGAAAGCCACAGGTCATAGCATCAACTTCAATGGCACCAAAACCCTAGCCACTATAGAAAACCTCAGCCACAGAATTATCAGAGAAGCCATAGAGATTGAAAAAAGACCTGAAAGCATGAATAAAGAGATGATTCCACCAGACTGTAAATTATTTGGAAGTCTGCACTCACAAACAAAAAAATCTCCACACTACTAGCCAGACAAACACCTGGGCACAAACAGATCCCCCCTGATACCTCCAGCTCAAACACACCCCAACCAGGCACCCAGATGAAACCTAGCTTCCTAACAAATGATAGCCGTCCATTTACTCAGAACCAAGCTGCACTAAAAGCTTCCAATACAGGAACACAATGTTGCCAGCCAATCAAGACACAAAAAAAAGCCACAAAACAGACAGAAGGTATTAGAAACACCAATCAAGCAGAACGCAGCAAACTCCAAGACCAATAAACACAGACCAAGACTCCCAACCAATCAGGATGAAGAAAAAACCATTCTGGCACAGCAGTAGGCTAGCCCTAAATTTAAAACTGAAACAACTGTAAAAGTCTGACTCACAGATGAACACTATACAGAAGCCTGATGATGGCAGATGAGATTCTGCTGAAACGTCGTTACAACTTTAAAAGCACAACTATAGTGACGTGGGAAAATATCCGAACAAAGCTGAATGACATACATACATACATACATACATACATACATATCGCTTAGCCTTATGTACCGCTTCACAGTGCTTTACAGCCCTCTCTAAACGGTTTACAGAGTTAGCATATTGTTCCCAATAATCTGGGTCCTTATTTTACCAACCTTGGAAGGATGGAAGGCTAAGTCAACCTTGAGCTGGGGAGAATTGAACTGCTGACAGTGGGCAGAGTTAGCCTGCAATTCTGTATTCTGTATGCAGTGGTTACTGCACCACCACGGCTCATATGGTCTGTTATTGTACCCATATATTGAGTCCCTTCATGCCACAGAAGACAACTTGTTTTTTGCGGTCTGTCACCTGCTCTTCCATGGTTATTTGGCAGCTTCAGCTTGCCTGCATGGTCTTCCATATAGTTTAGCATCATGTATGCAAGGAGAACATTATTTGTCCTCCACAATATACTTCAAGTTGTTTAAATATGGCATGGAACTCGGGAGTGTGGAAAGAGATGCCATGCTAGGAATAGAAGATGCACCAGCTAGACTGCAACACGTAGTTGTATTTGGCTGATTCCAGCAAGCAAAGCAAAATCAGATGTGACTGGTACTTAAATGGGAGATCACTTAAGAAACCCAGTGCAGTAAATTTAATTGAAAATATGTCTTGGAAGACGGCAGTAGTAAATTATTGCCCTATTGCTGTCAAGAAAACTATGTAGAGGCCAGGAGTCAAGTTCAATTCAGAGAAGGTTAGGAAGCTTTGTCATAAATTGTATTGGAAATATCAGGTGGTATTTTTTTCTTATCATGATTTCTTTGTGTAGGAGCCCTTAGAAGAATGAGCTATATTTTGTGCCTATTTTTAATTTCACAACTGCCTGCTTTTTATTAGCTTAAATAATTTGCATTTCTGTAATGGAATTTGCAAGGTAATTTACGAAAAGAAATCCCTTAAATGTAATCCACCTGCTAAAAGCAGGAATAGAAGAAAGAAATAAAGACTTTTATTTTATTTTTGAGCAGTGGCAGAGGGGTTACCTGTGCCTTTTAGTTCCTCCCTGGACAAAAATAACTTTCAGGCCTCTTTTTCCTAGTTTTTTTTAGTTTTTTGTTACTTGTATGGATTTTTTTAGGCTCTAGAACAGCCAACAAACCTATTATCTTTAATTACTCCCTCTCCCTCAAAAAATAAACAATATGCTATCAAATTAAAACAAAGCCACACAAGCTTGGTGAGCTCCAATCGTGCACAAAAAATGTGTAATCCTGCCATAAAGCATAAGGAAAGATGATGTCCCATCCCCTTCTTGTTTGAGGAAGCATTTTGCATCTCCTTTAAAGATTAAAAAAAAAGAGATTCTTTTTTGTTTTGGAGGTTCTTCCAAGAATGCTGCTACTTCCATCTACTGGTAGTCCTTGACTTACAACCATTTGTTTAGTGACCATTTGAAGTGACAGTGGCACTGAAAAAAAAAAACAACTTACAAAAGGTCCTCACGCTTAGAACCTTTGCAGCATTTCCCCCCTGTCATGTGATCAGAATTCAGATGTTTGGCAACTGACATATATTTACGATGGTTGTAGCCTCCTGGGGCCATGTGATTGCCATTTGTGACCCTCCCAGTTGGCTTCTAACAAGCAAAGTCAATGGGGAAAGCTGGATTCGCTTAACAACTGCATGATTCACTTAACAACCGCAGCTTAACAACTGTGGCAGAAAAAGAGCAGAAAATCTGGCACAACTCACTTAACAACCACCTTAGCAAATAAGTTGAGGACTATCTGTATTTTATAAAGGCCATCTTGGGTCTCATCAATCCTCATCCTTAGTTTTGTATTAGAGTGAGTTAAGGGCCTCTGAAGAGAAGCAGTGGATCAATAAGGTTTATTATGGGCAGTCAAAGAAAGAAGGATTAAAGATTAAACTGCCAATATAATATCATGTCAGCCTGTGGCATTGCGTATCATTGTAGCCATCCTATCTGACAAAGATAATTTAGTAGTATCTTTTTCCTGATCCCACCATCTCTAATTCAGCAAGGATATACCAAGAAGTGGACAGCCATGTCATAATCAAGTGTGTAATATCAGAGATGGGCTCCTTTTTCAAACAATGGGATGCAAAGTCTGAAATAATATTTTCCTTTCTATTTTCCTCCCTCCTGTTCTGCAGGATTATAATAAGTTGAATAAGTGTGCATCCTGTTGGGTTTCTGTTCTCTCACCTCAACTTTATTTTCTTATGAACATCAAAGGCACAATCCAATAGAAAGTGAAAAAAAATGTGGATCTAGATCAGTGGGGATTCAACAACCTGTTTAATTCAGTCTGTGCTGTTTTCAAATATAGCATTAACTCAATAGGGACCAGCTCCTTTGTCTTTTGAGCTGGCTTTCCATCAGAAGGAAAATTAAAACTTTGCAGCTAGGTAACTGAGAAATATTGTCCAGGAATGTTTGGCTGAGAGCAAAAGAGTGGGGAAAAAATCCACAAATTAATGTTAGAGTATTGAGGAAGTTTCTATTTAGTCACCACTGCTTTGAAATATTTCTTTTGATGTCAGATGTGTAGCTACAGGAGATTCCAATTATTTCCCTCCACTTGAGAAAATTATTTGTTGGAAGAAGTTCGTTTATTTTTACTGTCCATCACTTTTTTTAAAAAAAACACCAATTTTCAGATTACGTTTTCTAAGCTTCTTCTGTCTCAACAGCAGTCAATGGAAGCTGCAACACATGGTAGACTACATCTGGACAGGCAATAGTCTTGTGGGCACTACATCTCCCAGCATGCATCACTGTGCACTCCAGTAGTTGAGACTACAGGAAGCCACAACAAGAATCATTTCCTGGTGTAGATCACAGGGTGGTGACTAAATGGAAGAATGTTATTTTATTTTGATTTTTTTTTTCAATGTGGATAGCTACACACATCTCACATGGGTAGGAGCCTCACAACAATTAAAACATCAATAAAAATGCAAATAAAATCAAAAGGTACACTGCAACCATACTCACTTTCAATATGGCAGCTGCTTTGTATTGTCATGAATACTACACTCCTCAAAACCTTTCTCTGTTACCTGGTACAATGTTTCTCAATCTTGGCAACTTTTAGATGGTTGGATTCAATCCCAGAGTTCCTCAGGCAGCACTGAATTGAAATCCACCCAAGTTGAAGGATTAGCTTAAGAGAAAACAAGAAAACCTGCTGTTGAATGAATGAATGAACGTACGAATGAATGAATTCTTTATTGGCCAAGTGTGATTAGACACACAAGGAATTTGTCTTGGTGCATATGCTCTCAGTGTACATAAAAAGAAAAAATACATTCATCCAGAATCATGAAGTACAACACTTAATAATAGTCATAGGGTACAAATAAGCAATCAAATCATACTAGGAAACAGTCAATGTAATAATAGGGATACAAGCCACAAAGTTACAGTCATACTAGTCACAAGTGGGAGGGGATGGGTGATAAGGAGTGATGAGAAGATTAATAGTAATAGTAGTGCAGACTTTGTAAATAGTTGGACAATGTGGAAGGAATTATTTGTTTGGCAGAGTGATGGCATTCAGGAAAAAACTGTCTTTGTGTCTAGTTGTTCTGGTGTGCAGTGCTCTATAGCTTTGTTTTGAGGGTAGGTGTTGAAACAGTTGATGTCCAGGATGTGAAGGATCTAAATATTTTCACAGTCCTCTTTTTGACTCATGCAGTATACAGGTCCTCTTGCAGTATACTGGTCCTCGATGGAAGGCAGGTTGATAGTAATTGTTTTTTCTGCAGTCCTAATTATCCTCGGAAGTCATTGCTGATTCCTGTACTTCTTCTCTTTCCTGTAATAGACTGTCATTAGACTTCTATAAAGTAGTGGCATCTGCACAGGGATGGCGGGGAGGCAAGATGGTGGATGTGGTAATATTGATACTTGTAGTCTTTGACTTAAAACCACAGTTGGGATTGGATATTTTATCACTAAGCGATGTGATTATTAAATGACCGCACTAGATTTTACAATCTTTTTAATTGCAATTATTAAGCATATCCAGTGGTCTTTTCAGATCCAGCTTCTATTTTGGTACTAGGAAAAAAAGTTGTCCTGAAAAATCAAAACGAGGTGCAGTAGAGCTGCTAGGGAAGGAAATCTTGTTCCAGGAACCAGTTTCAATTGATTTAATTTAGAACCCTAATGTGTGGCAGGTCCCTTCTGATGTTATTCCTCAGCCCACTTCCTTCAACATCTAGAGTGGCATTTAGGGGATTGAAGGTGTCTTTGAGATTGGGGGAGGAAAGGTGATTGGAAACTTTCCTTCTATGAAGTTCTCCAGTCTGATTCATATGAAAATTCAAGATGATGGTTTTAAAGTATAAGCTGATCTCTCTGTGTGTTTGTGCATTTCAAAAATAACTACAAGCAAAATCACACTTTTTTAAAGTGGAACAGCAGGTAAGAACTCTAAAAGTTGCACCTCTTCCACAGGCAACATAAGTTTGTTTTTATACTGTACCATTCCATATGTATGGATGTATATATTCAAGCATTCTCTCCTCATCGTAGGAGGAGATGTTCTATCTTCTCAAACAAACTTGCTAATGACTAACAACAATTTCTCATAAAAAACACCTGAAATTTGTTTTGGTCAGTTCTCCTTTTGGATGGAATGAAGCCTTCAAGCATGGCTGCCTTTCCTCTGGTTTGTTTTTTGAGATGGTTGTCTAAATGTCCCCTCTTCGTCTCCTCCCTGTTCCCTCCTTCTCCTTCCCTCTGCAGATTCTGGCCTGGTTTGAGGAAGGAGATGAAACCACCACAGCCTTTGTGGAGCCTGTTGTGATCATTATGATCCTCATAGCTAATGCAGTGGTAGGAGTCTGGCAGGTATGTTAAGGGGTTGGTCACCTAGCTGCTTTGTCTTCAGGTGGGAGGGAGGAAACAAGTAGCCAATTCATATCAGCTTCAGGTGTGTTTTAGGAGTTATTTGATATAATTGCAAGTCTGAATCCAGTCCGTGTCAGTTTCACATATTTTTTTTCCAACAATATCTACCAAATGGAGGAGAAAAATCTCCCTCAACCCCCCCCCCCGCCCCATTTTCTGTGAACTGGAGGTATTTATCATAGAAGTTGTTTTTCAAAAGAAATTAACAGTCAGTTGGTGGAAACGGCTAAAGACATCTGATGGAAAGCACGGATTCCTTTGAAAATTGGCCAGCTTCCCTCTTAATGATTTTTTTATAATGATTAAATAAGATTGTTTGATTTTCTTTTATTTCCCCCTCTCTTAATCTCCATCCAGATGATTCTCTTCTCTTCTCTTCTCTTCTCTTCTCTTCTCTTCCCTTCCCTTCCCTTCCCTCCCCTCCCCTCCCCTCTACTTCTTTGACTTACACATCTCCATAATTCCTCCTCCTCCTTTCTATTTCTGCTGGTGTGGGTGCACATGTGAGCAATTAATTTTAATCAGGAATTATTAATTCAGTTATATGACTTCTGGGTATCCCCAGGAGCTTTCTGCTTTTATTAGAATGATGGTAATAGCATCATGATGTCCTGATACAATCTCCACACTATGGGATATTACTTTCATTAAGAAAAAGGGTGGGATTTGCATCACAATGATACAATGCATTCTCCCCTTGGTCCCTGTAGTTTCCACTGAGGTGTATTGCCTGGACAGGTGTATTTGAGGGGAGAAATGTTCAGGTTTCAGCTGGTGGTGAGGACCATATGTTGACAAAAGGAAAAAGGTTAATCCAAACAATTTTTTCCTAATTATTCCTCCTATTGGGGAGGATTGTATTAAATGTAAGGTTAACTTCCTTTTATAAAATACAACATTTATTGGAGCCTTTCATTTATCAGTTGATGGGGGTCAATCTGTTTACCTCCTCTCCTTTGTAGTTTCATATCTATAACGGAATACAGAATAACAGAGTTGGAAGGGAGCTTGAAAGTCTTCAACACCCCCCCCCCCCCCCCCCCAGGCCCCGGGCCCATACCATTCCAGACAAATGGCTATCCAATCCCTTCTTAAAAACCTCCAGTAAAAGTCAGCTTTGCTGGCTGAGGAATTCTGGGAGTTGAACTCCACAAGTCTTAAAGTTGCCAAGTTTGGGGACCCCTGCTCTAGAGACAAGCCGTTCCACTGACAAGAAACTTCTCCTTAGTTCTAGGTTGGATTTCTCCTTAATAAGTTTCTATTTGTTACTTCTTATCCTGCCCTCAGGTGCTTGGGAGAATAGTTTGACCCAGTCTTCTCTATGACAGCCCTTCAAATAAATCATTCATCTTTTCCATTCTGTTCCTGCATAATTCTGCATTTTTAGAAGACGTGCACAGATTTGTATTTAACTTTATGCCAGTTTCCTTTGCATAGTTTGTGTATAATATTTAAGCTAAGAGATGCCCTGTACTGTTTTGGATGTTACAGTCTGAAAAAATAAATGTTGATCTAGATATTAATCCGAGTAGTTTAATTTAGGGAAGTTAATTTAAAAACAAAGATCCTTTTCAGCTCTAGCCTTGCATACCATTCTCTCTCCTTACAAAGTGATACAAACATAGAAGAGAATGCAATTTTTTATTGAACACATGCCAAATTGACATTGGCTGGAAATATATTTTTGAAAGTAAATGAGGTTACAAAAATAGCTGGGGCAACTTTTTAAAGAAGGCAATTGAGGACAGATTGGTTCCAAATGCACATACACTAATGTTTCCAAAATAATCATTTAAAAGAAATAAAAGAATTATCAAAATAATCCAATATGATATAATACCACCAGAACAGAAGGAACCTGGTTGAACAACCCAACACATCAAGTGGACATTTTTTATCTCCAGAATTGCACCACAATACTAGTCCGTAGAGTTGCAAAACAAGATATGCAGCAGCGCTCCTGGGCAGTGACCGAAAAGGCCTCGCGCGTGGTAGATACCATCTGTATCTGGATGGGGTAGTTCTTTTATTTTAATCTCAACTGAAAAAACGTTCTCCTCTGAGACATTCAGATTGTTCAGGGGGACTTCTAAGTTGGAAAAGTTCCAGTTTTAAAAAGCTGCCTGGTTTTTTTGCAGGAGAGGAATGCTGAGAGTGCAATTGAGGCACTAAAAGAATATGAACCAGAAATGGGAAAGGTGATCAGAGCAGACAGGAACGGAGTGCAGCGGATCCGAGCTCGAGACATTGTCCCAGGAGATATTGTGGAGGTAGCAGGTACAATCTCAGCCATTGGCTTGCCTTGTGTGTCTAATGTAGACCGATGTTCTTATATCATGAGATAATAAGAGGCCTTCTGCTTATTTGCCTTCAAATGTCAGCTGCTGTACTTTACTTATGGTGTCATAAAGGTTTATTAGTTATTGGAGAACTTTTCTTCCTCTGAGAAGTTTACCCATGCTAGTCTGTGGCAGCAAACATAACAAATCATCTTGTAGCATCTTGGATGGCACAGTGGCATAAGCTT